TTGCATCCATTAAACCCTAAATTGGATGGAAACATGATTACCATTAAATCAATGTACACGTAGATTTTTTTAACTCGTGCCAAATGATGCAGCAAAAAAAGAATCAATTATGGCTCATAAGGATTTTTGCGAGATTTTGCTCACCATTTAATGTCCATTTGTCATTATCTTATTGGTGTAAGAAAAATAAAAAATAAAATGAAATGACAAAAATATTTATGTTAATAAACTAAATTTACGAAAATATAATCAACCCCTTCATAAACCTCCATCAACACCTTCAAGCCACCATTGCCTCTGTCATTTCAAAAACCCCAAAACACAAAAAATGATTGTAAAAATAATAATCATACATACATATAGATCTAGACTTTTTAGATACCATAAAAAATAATTTAAAAAATTTTTGAATGGATTTTAATTAATAATTAGGAAAAATCACTTTCATCACGGTGTAGAAACCATAAACACTTTCATCATAGTGTAAAAACTACCAACATCTAATAAATCAGACCAATAAGCTTAGGAAAAAACTAAAATTGATCGAAGAGATTTTTAAGATTATTAATTTAAGTCAGCCATCTCACCTACACAAGATTCTCATAACCACCTAACCTAAAACAATACCAAAAAAAAAAAAAAAAAAAATCAAGACAAGCCAAGAAATACAGAGCTCTATGACATTTCGAGATTTTGTTTTCGTACGAGAGTAAAGCTTTTGGGAAGGGAACAATTTATTAGAAGATCAAAGCTTTTGGAGTGACGACGAAAGGTTATTTCAAGTCTAGAGGTTGCAAGCTTTAAGGTCAGATCTAGGCATTTAAGGAGTGTTTTTGAGAAAACCATTTAGACAATAGAAAGAGGAGGAAGAGAGGAATCTTTGGATGGATTTTAAGAGAAATCAGGCACCAGTGCACTACTGGTGGTAGTAGAGGATAGAGGTGATAATGACAAAAAATCATAAATTTTTGGATTTATGGAAGGCTAGCATTTGGGGTTGAAACAATTAGAGAGAGAAAGAAATATGAAAATGAAAGGGAAAAGAGTTTTGAATTTTTATTACATAATCTTGTAGTTTTGAAATTTTCTTAAAATTTTCTCATTTCATTTTATATTTTATTTTCCTTGCACTAATAAATGAATGTAATAGATTTTTTTACTATGTCATGTGCCACATTACCAATTAATGTTCACGTGTCAATTAAGTTAATAAAAGTTTAGCTTTCCATCCAAATTAGGGATTAATTGATTCAAAATAAAAGATTAAATGTTCGATTAAGTGCAATAAATCATTAGAGGCTCAATTCATTTTTTAATTATTATTCAGAGACTTTTTTAACCCTTTAACTTATCATTAACTATCTTAAGTACATCAACAAGTATTTTCCCAAACTTTAAATATAATATCTTACTAATGTTCATAAAACCAACTTCATTATAAATGTTTAATAACTCATAAGATTAACCATCAAATCATTCACTATCTCAATTTCCTACATAAATTTAAGACCCTTGCCAACAAATGTCCTACCATAATGAAAGTGTAGGATACAATAATCAACAATTATACTAAAAAAAATTGTCACTATATAATTTATTCATTATGTAATAAACAATATAATATTATGTGACTATATAATATTAAATACTCATACTGCACAAATATATGTCCCATGTAAATCGACATGTTTCTTTGTTCACATGATAACCATAAACAAGTAAAAAAAGATTATCAATGGAATAATGACAGATGGAGAATTAATGGGGATTCTTTCTATTTTGGTGAAATGATGAATGAAGAACAATAGAACCACAGAATGTCAGATATTATTTAATCAACTTTATGGGCTCTCATTTAGCCTTAAATAATTTAATGAAAGCAACGAAAATTAACTTGAAATTTGATCTTCTTTCTTGAGCCCAGTACGATAGAGAATTACTCTTGAAAACCTTGAATTCCACAATTAAACAACTATCGATCTTTTTCAAAATTTTAAACTCAATGATCGAACAACGAATGGTTTTAGGTGAAAAACGATTGAACAATTATCTGGGAGATTTAGGGTTGAGCATGCAATAATTTGAGTGATTTTGATCTATCTCCCAATTTTGTTGTTTTGTTTTTTTTCTTTTTTTTTTCCAATCAAAGCTGTTTAATATTTCAAAATCAAGTTTCAATTTTTATATAACTGAGTACGAAAACATTAATCTCACATGAATATCCAACTTAGCAAAAAATTACTATGGAGCATTATATTAATCCTTTGATGCTATATTATAGTATCTATTTCACATAATCTTTTGTATTTAAAAAAGTTTGAAATTGTTATAAGTAGATAATATTTAATATTTTATTTGGATAAAATTATACGAATAATTTTGATACGAGTAACAACACAATTACTTAATTTTAAATTAAGCATCTACTTTTTAAATTAGTAAGAAAGATTTGAATTTGTTAGAAAGATTGTAGAAAAGGGAAATTTACAAGTCAAAACAAATTTAAATGTATAATTCTTATTATTAAAATAAAAAAGGAATGCACAAATTAGACCCCAATATGATGTCAGTCCAACAAATTTAAAAAATAACCCAAAATTCAAAACCAATCCCCTTAAAAATTGTTTAAATTCCATGATTGTAAAAAATGGATAAGTTTTGCCTTCAAAACACGTAAGTAAGCTTCATTTAATTATCGATTATGGTAATTAAATCAATTTAGATGAATTTGTTATTATATGTTGCAGTTTTGGAACCCAAGAGAAAACAATTAACAAATTTATTCCGGAAAATGTTGATTTGATTAAAACTAAAAAATTTCCTCACGCTGTGCCACAGGATTTATAATTGTTAGGAGATCTATTTTGTTTAGTTAATATTAACTATTATTATTGATATTGTTTTGATAATATTTATTTTTATTAAAAATTAGATAAATATGCATTTTTTAAATTCAATCATTAAGTAGAAGGACGAATATAACAGGATAAGATAAAAATATAAATTATTTCTTTACTAAAAATAAACTCGAGCAATGCTATGAGGTTTTTATTTTACAAATTAATATTACAAAAGTGGAGCCTATGATAGGCATGAACATGTTTGGGAAAACAGCTTTCCTCCCTCTATTTGTAATACTGATTCTTTTACATATATTGAATAAAAGTCTATTTCTTGATAACAAAAAAAAAAAAAAAAACTTATGCATCAATTAATGTTAACGATCCAAATTTAACTTAATGGTTGTTACCCTTGTGAAGGATAGATTTAAGAGTTCAAATTTCTATTTATATTTCTTATATTACTGAAAACAACATAATGCTATGTATAATTTATATAGTTCTTTTAAATTTAACCCTAGTAATATGCTACTTTTAACCTATGACATTCAGGTCTCTCCATGTTGAAAGTTATTATACTAGGTTTCTAAGGTATATATATCATAATTTATAACTCTCTATTAAAAAATCCTAAAAAAATTAGAGAGTGACATATGTTCAATATTATAAAGTTATCATTTTGTCCTTTCTAACATTTAAATTAATAATTTTACCTTTTAATCAAAATAATGTAATTAAAATGTTAATAAAAAATAAAAATATATAAAAATTTTTCCAAAAAAATTATATTTCGATACTTGTCCAATATTATAAAATGATCATTTTACCTTTTTTAATATTATAACATAATCATTTTACCTTTTAATAAAAATAAAATAACTCAAAATGTTAATAATAACATCTCTCTAACATTATAATATGACCATTTTACTTTTTTCAATATTATAAAATGATAATTTTACCCTTTAATCAAAATAATATAGTTAAAATGTTAATAATAAAAATTTAAAAATATATTAAAAGAATTTTCGAATGGGTTATATTTTGACACATGTCCAATAGTTTAAAATAACCATTTTACCCTTTTTAATATTATAAAATGATCATTTTATCTTTTAATGAAAATAAAATAACCCAAAATGTTAATAATAAAAAATTTAAAAATATATTAAAAGAATTTTCAAGAATTATATTTTGACATTTTTCCAATATTATACAATGGCTATTTTACCTTTTTCAACATTATAAAATAACCATTTTACTCGTTAATGAAAATAAAATATCCTAAAATGTAAATAATAAAAATTAAAAAAAATAATATCTATATATTTTAGAATCCCCAAAAATATTACATTGTGACACCTATTTAGCATTGCAAAATGACCATTTTGCTTTTTCCTCTATTATGAAATGACTATTTATCTTTGAATCAAAATAAAACAACCTAAAATGTAAATAATAAAAAAATTTAAAATTATGTTAAAAGAATTCATGAAAAGGTTATAATTGACACTTGCCTAATTTTATAAAATGATCATTTTATTTTTTTCAATATTATAAAATGAGCATTTAATCTTTGAATAAAAATAAACTAACCTAAAATATAAATAATTCAAAAATTAAAAAATCATATATACAAAATTTTCAAAATAAAAAATTTATATTTGCATTCACAATTTAAAAGAGCACCATACCATGCATTTTAGAAAATAATAATAATAATATGTTGTCCTGCAACGAAGTATAGGGAAAATATTATTTTTTATAAAATTCACATATTTCTAATATGCAATCATGTTTTTCTAATTTTATGTAATAATATATTTAAAGATTTAAATTTATAACTACAATAAAAAGCTCTCAACATATACTACGTAATTATCAAATTTAGTGAAGAAATATTAAAAAAATATTATTTCACACTTCGCAGATAGAATTTATGAACTACACCAACTAGGTTAGAGTGCCGTTACGTAAGAGATATTAAAAAATAAAAAAGTTAATATAATTAAAAATACACGTGAAAGTTTTTTAATTTAAAATTTCTATTGACAGAATGGAGAAAAGGACCTCTTTAAAAAATGAAAACTTACTGAAAAAACATGTTAAGAAAAAGGGCAAAAAGAAAAAAGAGAAACGGCGTAGTTTTGTACAGCTTTTGTTATGATCTGTGTCGGTCCCCCTTGGTCGAACGACGCTTTCAGACGTCTAACGTTCCTAATTAAGGGAATGGAAAAACTAGTCTTACCGGTGGACAAACAGTGACCACAAAGAAAGCGACATCCTTCCAAACTCTTCCCCCCTTTAACTTAACTCTCCTTTCAGACAACAAGCACTCCCATCGTCAATCATCATCACGCATCAAACAATGGCATTTTCAAAGCTTTCTCTTTTCTTCTCATTGCTCCTTCTTTCCTTTCTCTTCATCAACTCCCCTGTCTTCTGTGGCACTGGTAACCTTTCTTTGCTTCACTTTGGGTTTTTCTTTTTTTATATTTCCCCTTTTTTTTAAACTTCTGGATCTGGGTATTTTCTTTCTTTCTTTCTTTAGCAATGCTGTTTGATCGTTGACTTTGTTGATTTGTCTGAAATCTGTGTAGTTTGTTCATTGATAAATGGTTATTGAATATATCTATCACATCATTATTGAATGCAGATATTATTGCTTATACAAGAGATCTATAAGTATTTTGGATGTACATTGCTTTTAGACACGCTGCATCCATATTTATGAACCCATTTCAGAACTCAATTGGATGCATCGAGTAGAATTTTTAATATGATTTTGCTAATTATGACCTTAAATGTGTTTAAATTGGTGTTCTGTTATAGTGTATGGGAGCCTTTGAAGTTTGAAGATTGTAGAGTCTTTTACTTGTTGATAGTTGCAGTTGATCCTATTTGTCATTCTTTGTTTCTTGTTCTTGATCGGGTAAGAAGAGAAAATTATATGACAATTTGATCTCCCTATATTGATCCAGCCTTTTCTGGGGAGACCCGGTACCATTCCCAGTTTCATTATACCAGCATACCAATGATGTATTCGTTCTATATGAAAGGTGATTACTGGTGTGATATATGCCCTCTGATGCTTGTTAGAAATTTGCTAGTTTAGCAAGGTTTGAAAGTTCACAATGAACCTTTCAACCTAGTGTTATCTTCTTGCCATAAATATTGAGGTAATAAGTTTAATCTTGACATTGAGGCCGGGTTCCCAATGAGAAGGGAGAAGGTTACCTCTGGTTGTGTCACAGCTGTGACCTAGTCAACGGATCCAGAAAACAGGCCATAGGCCATGCTAAAAATTTCAACCCTTTTTGGTGTCTTTGCTTGTTGAGAAAATCTTACAGATCATCCAAGTAGCTAACTGAAACAACTGTGTGATAGTTGTCAACATCTTTACAGCTTTTCTATTTTGTTTGGTACTGAAGTAGCAATGTGTATTTCTGGATAGATTGTAGCTCTTGATAATCTGCTTGTACATCCAAATATATTGTTTTAGAGTAACAATGAAGCAACCATCTACTAAATCCGCTAACTTATCTGAGATCCCTAGCTAATAGAATTATTTACCAATGATAAAGTTAATCTTTCTCTTAAAGTTATTTTCCAAGCTCATAGATATACAATCTGCTTTGAGATTGTTCAGCCTGCCTTGTTGTCAACCTAGGCAAGAACCTGGACCAATCAGAACTAGGCTCACATGAACCAACAAATTTCAACTAGGTGGGGGTTCAAATAGGTCATGCTTAGAGGATCTGGAGGAGATCTCCCACATCAAACTTGGAATTTCCATTTGGTAATGTCATAATATTTCACGGATCCGGACCATAAATCCTTGTCAAGTTATTATTTTAACAAAATTGGTGTAAGTTAGAGTCTTCGAAAGGTTGGTTGTGCTAATATTGATTTCTCGATAGCAATCTCTTGATTCTTATAAAAGTATGCTGTGCAGCCATATCACTAGAATTTGGGTTTGAGATTGATCAGTCCCTACACTTTCCTCTCTCGAACTAAAAGCTTTCATATTACTCTCTGGCTGCAGAAAACAATTACTGGTTCCTATATTCTGAAATGTCAATCATGAGGGAAGTGTTTGTGAAGTGGCATGACTTGTATGGAATAATAAATGTTTTTCTCTGATATCATAAGTTGACTGATGAGATTTGGCTAGTTAAGAAAGACTCTGGAGCAATCTGACCTTGGTATGGATTAATTGGTTTAAGGTTTGAGTAACTTCTTGAGTTGCACTATCTTTCTTACATTTAGTTGCTCAGTAATTTTAGCTTTGCAGGAAATTTTCTGCCTTGGAGCTATGGTTTTTATTTTTTTTTATCAAGAAAAGGACGAAAATTGATTTTCTTCACATATTCATTGACACCTAAAATAGAACATATTTCTTTGTTCTTTCAAAAAAGAAATGGCAGTCCAACGCTATTTGTTATAAATGGAGAATACTTTCTTGCCCTTCTGCAATATATATCTAGTCACTGGATTTCACCATGACCATCTACAGATGAGAAGGATAATCTTCTTAAAGGCATCAACAGCTATCGAGCTTCATTAAACTTAACGAGCCTGACAAAAAATGACAATGCTGCGTGCCTTGCTGATGAACTAGCTGATCAATTCAAGAACCAACCTTGCACAAACTCCACTGGTGCCAACACAGTTCCAGGCACTGAACCACAGTTTGCTGACTATCCAAACCTTTTGGGTAAATGCCATTTGAATGTCTCCATTACAAGGGATGGAGCGGTAATGCCTGCTTGTGTTCCAAACTTGGTTCCAGATCTTGTGCTCACTAACTTTACACAGTCCCAGTATTCTGATAATCTCAATGATACCAAGTATACAGGAGTTGGGATTGGCTCACATGGAGACTGGATAGTTGTTGTTCTGACAACAGGTACACCTGAAGGCAGCTATGCACCAGCTACTAGTGCAACTAGCGTGGTTACCGAGATCAGTTTAATGTATCACCTGCTATTCCTGCTGGTGGCTGCTTTCTACTTGTTATAAGCACCTGTCTGTTGTTTACGGCACTGTTATTCATTTGCAGAGGATAACAAAAGGACCATATTCCATTGTTTTAACAGATAGGAAAACTATGAATCACCAATTATACGCACTTTCTTTAGACAAATTAATCAAGTTCTTTGAACTTTGATACTTGATGTTGCTAGTCATAATACCATTTTGAAAAGGACTACATGAGATCATCTTATGCATGTATGAGTCTCTTTTTCCCTTGCTTCTTGTCGTTGTCTTGTTAATAAGTTTGGAAATTCTTTTTCCCTTTTCCCGTGTTTTCATCTTCTCTGATTCTCTCAAATGTTTTCATTGAAAACATTGAAAACTAGTTTTTTTTATTCTCTAAATTTAGTCTATTTTTATTTTCATTTCTTAAAAATAATTTTTGTTTATTTCAACTAAACAAAAAGTTTCACTCATTCTCTATTTTTTATGAAAATGAAAATAGAAAACAGAGATTTTCATAAATCAAACACACTTATTCTTTTTAATTCTCCTTTGTGATAATTGAAAGTGACGCAAAAGTATGATATTAGAGGAACAAATGGAAGGAAGAAGTTACACTAAGCGTTTCATTAACGTATTCTACAAGAAATGGAAACCAATGTGAACACAAAATACCAAGGTAAATGAACCCAACCGACAGAATTTACTGGTTGAGGTTTTCTGGGAAACAGGGCTGTACCCCAAAGTGGTTGGCTGAATTTCAAGCCCTCAGCCAGTTGTATGATGACATATTGAGTTCCACTATGCAAACTAGGTCCGGTAAAACTGTCCCGATCGCAAAAACTCGTTCAATTTGATCCGTAATCGAATCTTAAATAATTAAAGTTGAATAAAAAAAATCAAAAATTGAAATCTAAAAAATTTAAATATAAAAAAATTTAAATTCAAAAAATTTGATATCGTTACAATTCAAACCGTTGTAGTTCGAATTCACAATAATTTGATCTCAAGATTGATTTAATGTTAAATTTGTAAAAAAATAAATTATAATCCAAGAAAACTGAATTATAATTATATGATTATGTTTTAAAAAAAATAAAAATAAATGATAAACATTTTACTTAACTAAAAATTTTAAAATGTTATTATTTATGATTATTAAATAATTATATAAATAATTTATCATCTACAAAATTAACATTCAATTTTTAAATTTGATTATGAAGTAGAATTAATTTTAAAACACATTAAATATGAATATCAAATATTTTTTAATATTATCATTATTATATTTACAATAATTATCAATAAAAAAATATGTTAATTTAAATTTTGATTTCATTATAAAATTAATCATTTACAATAGATTATTAATTTATTATATTTATTCCACACTTAAATTTTAATGTAATTTGACTTGCTTTTTTTTCTTTTTATCGTTTCCATTTCTTTTACTCTTTGATTTAATGTTTTCATTCTTCTCTTTTTTCTCTAACCTTCTCCCTCTCTCTCTACAAACAAAATTTTTGTTAGCAGCAACCATCTTCAGTTGCTTACGCCATCTTCAGGGCTATAGCACCAGTTCCACTTCAAAATTTTGCATCTTCTTCATTTTATCTTTTTTTTGTCTTTTTCACTTCTCTAATTTAGATTTTATAAAAAGCTTCCCTAAAGTCATGGATCTAAACCCAAGAGCCAAACTTGTCACCACATTTTTTTATCGTTCGTCATCGTTTAATGCTCGAAAATCAATTTATGAGCCAAAGAGGTTGCGAATTCATGTTGTACCATCGATGAAGTAGACTAATATTACAAGGTGACCAAGACACTACTTAACAATCATGAGTTTTGTTTTATTGCTTTTCTGTATTGGAAAAAAATAAAAAAATTTTATGATTTTAAGTTTTTCATCTTAACTAGTTTGTATGAAAATCTACAATTACTTTTTATAGCTTAAATTTTTAGTGGTTTCATGGTGAAAAAAGAGTAAATTCACACGATAAATTTGTTGAATTTGATTTTTGGTGTATTGTGTGTATGGATTCTATTCGATTATAAATATTCTCGATTGTGGGTACAGATTGTTATGGGCGTGTGCATGTGTATAATGGGCATATTTATTCGATGGGGTAAAATCTTGCTTGATTATTGAGAAAATAGAGAAAATTGTGAGAAATTGAATGATTTTTGAAGTTTAATATATTAATCTCTTTGTTTTTTTGTGTTATTTATTTTATTGGTGATTTATTTTTTTAGAGGAATTGGATTTGGGTTTGTAGATGCAAGCGTTGCTTTCCAAGTTCATGTAAAGTGTAGTTCGATTTGAGTAAGACTATAACAATTCAAGTGAAATGCAAATACATTTTAAATCAAAATTTTAATTTTTTGCTAAGCAAAAGAATTTTCATTAAAAAGTAATAAAGTTTTTCTTTCCATTTTTATAATATGCATTTTACTTTGAAATGGGGTTGTGAGCAGCAATTTGGGTATTTTCATGGATAGAATAGTTTATTATAAAGAAGATAATTTTTTAGTTTTTTGCTTTAAGTTTTGAGTGGTTTTATTGATGTAGCAATTGAAAGAAAATTTGAAAATTTGTTGTAGAAATATCTTGGTGAATATGGATTGAATAAAGCCAAAAAACAAAGATGAGGATCATATGCTTAGAAGAATTTTGAATCAGGGTATTCAATAATTTAATACTAAGGTTAAAACTTTTGATGTTGTGTTTAACTTAAATTTTTTTAGTTTTTTGTTTGTTTGTTTGGTTTAAATAAATCTTTTTTTCTTTAAGGTTTAAGATAGAGACCTTACACTTTCTACTTTCTAGACTAAATAGGAACCTTTTAATCTCAAAAATTCAAGAAGATGTCTTACCTCTTGATTACAAAGTAACTTAATAAAAATGCAAACATAAAACACCTCTCAAAGGCTAAGTGTTTACCTAATGAAATACAAGAAAATGATGAATGAACAACAAATATATCTTGGATATAACAAATACAAAAGATATGGGTTTTAAGTTCTAACAACTCTTGATTCTATGAGAAAATGAAAATATGACTTGTTGGCTTTTACTCTTTTACTTCATTAATTTTTTTGATATGTTGGAGTGGCCAATATATAGAGCTAGCTGTTGCGGTTGCTTGGAAGAAGAAAATAGTAGTTGAAAATATGAGAAACTACCCATTGGAGTTGTTCCAAGGCATACCCGATTGATCCCTTCCATGAGGGGATCGATTGGTTCATGTTTTATGCCATTTATGCCTTGCAAATAACACTACTTGATCGATCTTTTCCTTGAGGGGATCGATTGGTTTAAGGGGCTGATCGATCCCTTACATAGGGTGATCGATCCCTTCTCAACCAGGAGCACAAACCTACATTCTATAAGAAAAATCAATCGATCCCTTCGTTGAGGGGATCGATCCTGTCAAAGCTGGATGGCTGTCTCCTGTTTCGTACTTTACTCACTAATTTAATCATATCTTGAGTTATACACATCCAAATCAAAAATCATTTGAAGATTTAGAAACTAGACTTAATGTGCTTTCTATCCATATAAAATTTATCACCTAATTCATTATGTATGAATTATAGTGAATTTTCAAATCTACCCCTTATGTAGTTTTTAGACAACTGCAAAATGTCTAGTAAAAATTTAAAATCTTTTCTTAGGAAATTTGGATTTTGATTTTGTTTGATCCATTAGAAAGTAAACTTAAAAAAATTTTCAACCATATAGAATTCAAATATTAAAGCTTTGTGAATTAATACAAAAAAATAAAAAAAGTTCAATGTTGAAAAATTTTGTTCTTGTAAAATAACTTTCTTAAGATAATCTATTTCTCAAAACCAATATTCACAAAATTGTATTAAGTCCAAAATTAATAAATTCACTTTGAAGACAGCAATTGGACTTTCATTTATGCTCAAATAAAAAATGTTTAAAGATATTTTTTATTTGAGAAATAAGAAAACATAAAAAAATGTTAGTTTAAACTTTAAAAATCATATTATTTATTTAGTATCAAAATATAAAACTTAAGAACATATACTAAATATATCTTTTTCAAAATCTTGATCTAGCTTATTCAACTTCATGTTTTGTCATTTCAAAATAAAGATCAATTCAAGGCTAACAATCTCTCCCTTTTTGATATGACAAAACTTAAAGATAAATTTGCTTGATAAAAAAATTTTTTTTAAGACATTTAAGATTTTAAAAAACATTTTGAAAAATTGCCCTTTAAACAATGTATGGCAAAATTTTCTCTCAATTTATGCATCCTAATCTAACACAACTCAACAAACATATGTTAGACAAATATATGAAATAAGAACAATAAACATATGCATGTCAAGCACAAGCAAATTTGTCTATATGATATTTCTCTCTCTTTTTGTCATAGCAAAAAGGCATGAACATATTAATGAGCAAATAAACACAAAAAGCATCATTAACAAATATATTCATGAAACATTTCTCCTTCTTTTTGTTTATGCTCTTTATACCAAATGTTTAAGCTCCTATATCAATTGTTATAAGCATACAAGAAGAAATATCTTTAAACTTTATCTCTTTTTGTCATTTCAAAAGAAAGAGAGATCAATTCAAGGTATAAGACAAAAAACTTGATATCAATAATATTAAAAGTATTTTGAATGCATGTAATCAAGTGTAATATGTACAATGAAGTTTACAGACATGTATTCAAACACAAAAGTATAAGTGTATCCAATTTTAGCATTTTAACATAAGTCATCAAATTTATTACATGAAAGTTATGAGCAAAGGATAATGAACAATATGCAGTCTACTCATAAATCATGCTAGGATAAGATGTACTTAGAATCTAAAACATCAATAGCAATTAAGCATAAATTCAAGCACATGCATACAAGCTCATACCAATTGTTATGGATACCAATTGTTAAAGATATGTTATCAAAAAGCATACCAATTGTTATTACAAAATAAATCAAACAAAATTATATTCTAAGATTTCTTTTCATTTTCAAAAAAAGGATTAATCAATTTAAGGCACACACAATTTTGCATGAAAGGTATAAGCTATATCAATGATAGGTACATAAATAAGCATCTATGAAAGTTAAAAAATCTTTAGCAATTTTGATACCAATTGTTATCAATTGTTAGCAATTTTATTCAACAACTTCCATAAAGCACACATACTTTAAGTATATGAAAGATTCATTCAATACATACATAAATGATAATAGTAATCTTTCATAAGCTATCCTATCCAAACAAGAACCAAAAACTTATATGTATTAAATAAAGCA